TCTTTGCTGCAACTGACTGGAAATCCAGGGAAGCTTCTCAGCGGCAGGTAATAGCAACTGCTACTGACAGACAAGCCATCCAAGGCTTGCTGTAAAATGGCTTGGAAACTATTTGAGTTTTCCAGAAGAAAAAAAATCCAGATAAAAGCGTCAAGCAATTGGGAGAAATTGCCTGCTTATCCGTGTCCCCAGAGCCGTGTCTGCCCCCCACCAGCCCCTTCCTTTCCCTTGCCTTTACTGGCTGGTAGAGTGCTTGGCAGGAAGCAGTGAGCTGTGGGGAGGGGATCGGGATGGCCTACTCTCCCCCACTTTTCCTGCTGCCTGGGCACGTGGGTAAGCATGTGTCGGGGTTTAGGGAGTCCCAGAGGAGCGGTTCTCCCAAGCACTGCTTTACTGCAGCGTGGAAGGTTTGGCTCCCTGGGCAGGGGTCTCTGAGCAAATCCAGTCCAGCCATTTGACTCACGGCTGGTGGGCCTTCCTGAACAGAGAACACGGAACTCTGCTGCCGCTGCCGATTTTCCCCGCCTATCCGATGCCCCAAACGCACACGTCCGAAGCAGCCGGCGACGCCTCCGAATGCCCGTGGGGGGGCCGTGGGCTTTGGGGCGCTCCTTGCCCTGTGGAGACTCGGTAGCCGAGCCCGTCCCTGCCACTGCAGGAAACGAAGGCACTTCACTGTCCCTTTTTGGGGCCGGCTGCCAGAGGCTCCCCATGCGCAGGGCACGAGAAGTGGCGTGCAGAGATTCTGGCCATGAGCCAGGAGCGGCCCAGGATGTTTTGCTGCCTGAAAGGAAGAACAGCACACACACACACACACACACACACACACACACACACACACACACACACTTTTGTGCACAGACACTTGCTAAGGATGAGTGAATCAGCAAAATCCAGGCTTGCCAAAGTTCTCCAAGTTCCAACCTGGAGCTCATTCTGACTCAGGTCCATCTCTAATTGTGAGCCCCCCCCGCCCCCCCGGAATCTGTGCCTGTTTTTGCGCCGATTTTTCCAAATGTGCAGATCAGTTGTGTGCATCTTTGACATGGATGCATCCTTCTTCCACTGAGCAAAGTGTGCTTGTGTATATTTTTATGTTGTGTGTGATATTCAGATGCAGGGTGGGGGGGGCTGCCACACAGGTGTATGTGCACCCAGCAGAAAAGGGAATGATTTGGCAGTTCCTGGAGGGACCAGAGTGTCGCCTCCTTGGCTCTGCTGAAAAAGTTCTTTCAGGACCATGTGTGCCTTCTTTCCGCCGTGAAGCCGCATCACCCCTGCTGCTGATTTGGTGTGGGACAATCCCCCTTTTCTCGTGGAATGGAAGTGCCCATATCAAGGCAAGCATCCTGGTGGCCTCTGCAAAGTTCCCCCGGGCCAAGCTTTGGCAGCAGCTCAAGGGCTCCAAAGCAAGGAGAGTTTTCCAGGTGGCAGCATCCCTCCTTTTCATGCCTCTGCTTGATGACGCTTCCCTCGAGCATCAGCGCAGCCGCAGTGGCTGCACGGAGGCCGGGGAGAGGCCAAGCATGGCTATTCCGCCTGGTCTGCCAAAAGACCCTGCTTTCCCCCTCAGCCATGGGCTGCAGTTCCCAGCAAGCGTGCCCGGCGTTCGTGCGGCGCTCGCCCGGAATCCAGCCCCGGGTGCTGCGCAACCCACAACCCCCTTTCTCCTCCTGCAGGCGCAGGGGAAGGCCGGTCCCTGTGTTGCCGGGAATGGTGCCTTCTCAGCCGCAAGTGTGACGAGGACGGCTGCTGCTTGTGCAGCTGGAGTCTGCAGACTTTCACCGACCTCCTCCGGGCCTGGCGCGCTTTGCAGGAAGGGGCTGAGCGGGAGAGGGAACCTGCAGGTGCTTGAGGGACGGGGCCCCGGATGGCTCGTCCAGCCCCTCGAAATGCAGCCCTTTCCGCTCCGGGAGGAAGGCTGTCCAGGTCCCCGTGTGCATTGCTGCTCAGTCTCTTGCTTGCTCCTCACTCTTGATGGGCAACCTGGACTGGGCAGGACTAGAGGGTGCCTCCAGACAGAGGATGGGCACACGTGGGCCCCAGGCGAGTGCATTCTGCACGGTGAAGGCAGCAGAGCCTTTTCTGCTTCATTTGCTGGGAAGCTGAGAATTTGGAGGACTTTCTTCGGCTGCCAGGGGTCAGTGCTGACCCTCAGGAGGTGGCAGAAGAAGGCACCTGCTTGTTCGTTGACCATGCACCCGTCTCCACGGTGCAGCATCTTCGGCCGCTTGAGCTTCCGGGAAGCCCCGCTGTCTGGGAAGCGGCAGATCTGGCTTTGCAATGTGGCCGTTAAAAGATTTTTCAGCAGCAAGAAGGAAGAGGAGGACAGCTGCTTTCTTGGCATTCAGGAACTCAGGAAGCAGCAGCACCGAAAAAGCCCAAGGGGGGAGTCCTGGAGAAGCTTCCTGGGGTTGTTCCCGCAGCTTGATGCCTTCATCCGTGTGGGATGACAAGTCCCAGAATCTTCCAGCCAGCAGAGCCAAAGGGCACCAGGCTGGGAAGGCTTTTCTAGGACCAAGGACCCCAAATTTCCAAGAAGCTCAGTCAGTTGGAAAGGCTGCAAGGACAGAGTGGGGATGGATGCTAAAGAAAGGACACTCTGGCTGCCTCCGTGGAGTTGCATCGAAGACTGCACCCCGAGGAATTTCTCCAAAATTCTTCCCCTTCCTGGAATTTTTGGGTGCATTTTTTAAAAGCTTGCAATCTTCCCCAAGGAATGGTTGAATACAAGAAAACATTCAGCATGGTGGGTTGTTCATAACTCAAACTGCAAATGTGGTGTGGTCATATTTTGTATTAATATATTTTTCCTCTGATCTCATTTTGCATTTCTGTCGCTCACTGCAGTCCTTCACACACAGAAACATACCCCAGTTCTCTGACCTTGAAAAACCTGAATCTTGGAAGCAAAATTAATTGGGTGTGATATCTGGCAATGCTTTTAGTGCCCTGGCAACTTTTTGGGAATGAGATTCTGATTGTTCTTTTACGAGCATGCGCAGCTCTTACGGTGGAGTGAAAGAAGCCACAGCAGGATATCCTGCAGGTGTGTCTGGTCCTGTGGGCCAATGGGACTCCCTTGCCAAGGAATCATAAACACCCTGTAGAGGATTGTCTCCCTGGCAAGACGGGTTCCCTGTGTGTGAGATGGAATGGGAATTGAAGGGGCATCTGCTCTGTGCAGAGGCACCTGGAGCAAAACACGCTGGGAGTCAGATGGTGCCCCTCCAGCCGATTCCCTGACGGAGGCAGCTGGCACTGCAAAAGATCAGGGTTAGGTAACCCACCAGCTGTGCGGGCATGTGCGTTGGAGAGCTCCTTCGCAGGGCTTTTCATCCGCCGTGCCTGGAGCAGGCAGGGTGAGGGGCGCCGGCATAGGGCGACAGCCCAAACATAAGGATGATCCTTCGCGGCATTTCTTGGCATTCAAACAGAAGCTGCTCCCTCTGGGAATTCCTCTTATAAGTCACCTTGGGCACCAGGATAACCTGTGCTGGAGCTGAGGGTACGCACTGTATTTCCTGCAGCACCAAAACTCCCCGCCCTGCATTGTAAGAATTTCCTTGGCCGTGTCTACATCAGGGATGGAGAAGGCCATCCATTTCTGGGTGAGAAGGCTATGGCTGGCTGCTGGACCAGATGGTCAGGTGCTCCCTCCTGTATCCGAGCCTGTATCTTATGCCTGGGTACCCCGGGAGACGCGGGAAGGGGTCGTGGCACTCCCGGCCTCCTTGTGAGGTGGCCCTTGCGAGAACTCCAGCAGCCCTGGCCCACATGGCTCTTCTTGCATTCAGCCGTCCCCACCTTTGCCTTTTCGCCACTGGATTGTCCTCAGTTGCTTTACCCCTCAGCCAAATGAATAGGTTGCCTGGCGCGGGGACATCATCTCATACAATATGTGATCGCTGATTGGCTGGGATGACATGGCCAGTCAGTCATACAGACCCATGTGACAATTGCTACAGCTGCTCTGGGAGTTAAATGCCCCACCTGTTTCATTGTTTTGACCCTTCTACAGACGAATTATTTTGATTTGGTTCTGGTGGTCTCTTCCTCTCTCTCTCTTTTTATATATATATATATATATATATATATATATATATATATATATATATATATATTTCCTAATATATTTTATATAGAGAGAGAGAAAGAGCAAATAGACAAACACAGAAATAATCCAAGCATAAGAGAGAAACTAACAAAAACACGAGCTGGGAAAGACTTGGCTTTGTATCTCACTCATTCAGGGGCTCAGCAGGGGGGCACTTTCATTTGTTCAGTTGATACCTTGCTTTTCTCCCCTTGGGGGCAAAAGAGGGGCGGGGGGTGTTCCGATGCAGCCCTGGTGCCACAGAGAAGACGGGCTGATGTGGAGAGAGAAGCTGGTTTCTTCCGCCTTCCTCTTCGAAAAAGGGCAGCCCGTCCCAAAGCCTGCCATTCCACATGCCTTGCTTGTGGGTGGTGCGGCCAGGACTGAGGGCAATGACCCTTGTGGCTTCCTGGGCCCCAAAGAAACCCCTAAAGAACAGCAGGTGACAGGGACAGAGTCAGGCACACTCAGTGCCCACCCTCTCTTTCACCTTCCCTTTCCCATTTTTAAGTCCGAAGTTGCCCACCCACAGGGCGGCTGACTGGACAAAGCCGTGGGCAGAGAGGTGCGTCTTCCAAATGGAAGCGCATTCCTCTTTTTGCTTTGTTAAAAGGCCCAGTCCTCTGCCCTTGTGCGTCTCGAGACTGGTGGCTTCTGGGACTCTACAATTTTCCATCCTGCCAAACTGCCCAGATTTTCTTCTGATACATCTAATTCCTTTGTAATGACAATTGGAACTTTTATCTCCAGTTTCGCCCCAGAAAAGTTACTGGCTCAGCTCTTTTGTGGGTCACACGGAATGCTATTTTATTCCTGCCTCGCTAAAGTTCCAAGGCAGTGGCGACTCGCTTCCCGTCCCTCTTTTTAACGGTATGTTTGTTTGTATTTGTGTCACTGGAAGCAGATGAAGTCATCGGATATTGACCAGGAGTTATTCACAGAAAGCTACTGCAAAGTGTGCAGCGCCCAGCTGATATCGGAATCCCAGCGCGTGGCCCATTACGAGGTAAGAGCGGTGGCGCTTCACGCTGGGGGCCTGCGGAGTCCGGGAATTGGACTGCAAAGAGATGCCTGCTGCGGGTAGGGGCGAATGTCTGCCATTAGCTGCTTCCTGTGCAAATTGGAAGCGTCGCAAGCGGGCTTGGCTGGCTGCACAAAGGCAAGCGCTGGTGGGGGACACGTTTGGACCACAGGGAGTCCCGCCGTTGCCACGCTCCAGCTGCTGGCAATCTGAGAAGCAGCGTGGAACAGGGGTGAAGAGCGCAGGGCCAGGACACAGGGGGAACGGGGCTAGTCGGCGCCTGCCACGGAGCTCACTTTGGGCCAGTCACAGCCGTCCCCGCAGGGATGTTGTTGTCAGGCTGAGTGAGAGGAGGAGGATTGTGTAAGCCACAACGAGTTCCTTGGGAGGAAGAAAGATGGGTAAATATTACCACCCCATCCATCCGTCCGTGTCGGCAATTCTGGGGACCGCTCTGACCAGGGGAGGGTGGGAACTCTTGTGTCAAAAGAGTTCCTCATCCGTTGTAGCTTTTCTTTTCAGCCTTGTAAGAGCTGTCTGGGGGCTGAACCTCCCCCCCCCCACAATAGTTTCGATACCTTTCGTGCTTCAGAGGAGCTAGTCCTGGCTGGAATTCAGCACCACGGACAGCTTCTGCACGTTTTCTGTCCCACCCTGGCATCTGGCCCTTGGTTCCTGTGACAGTTCGTTAGAGATGTATAACAAACATGCAGAGTTTAACCACCTGGAGTGCCGGTCTTTGGCCTGATCAGCAGGTTGTTTGCCATTTTTCATGCGTCCCAAATATTTTGGTGCAGTTGTTCCAGCCTGCTTGTATTAGCTGCCCAAATGCTTCTGGTTCTTATTAATGGTGCTGGTTTTAACCTACAAGCTGCTGGAGCGCCTCTCCCAGCCCCTGGGCCCTTGCTCCAAGTCCCAACTCCAAGGGAAGTGCCCAGCATGGCCACTAGGGGGAAGGCTTTCTTGGGGCCGGCCCCATCCCCCCTGCAGCCTGGCTGGTGCCAAATTGATCATCAGTTGCGCACCAGGTTAAGTTAGTCCTCTTGCTGAGGCTTTGAAGGACTTATTAACCCTAAACTAGGCCTTGAGGGGATCACGGGTGTTCGCAGAGTCCCTGTTTTTATCACCCTCTGTATTGTTTTTATCATCTGTTTTTTAGCTGTTTAAAACCTTTTCATGTTTTTTCTGACATTTTTATTGTATTTTTATCAATTGTTTTTCTGGATTGTGCAAACTGCTCAGACAGCTTTGGCTGTGAGGTGGTATAGAAATGAAATCATCATCATCATCATCATCATCATCATCATCATCATCATCATCGTAGTAGAAGCAGCAGCAGCAGCAGCAGAAGTAGTACTTTCATTTACATTGCAAGGGCAGGGCCAGAATCTCCCAACCCTCAAAAAGAAAGAAAGAATACAAAATACAATGAGAAGTTCCATTTTGTAAGCGTAGACAATAACACTTCATAGACAATAACACTTCAAAGAAAATACAACATCCTTACTGCTACTCACCCAATCTGTTAAAAGAAACACTCACAGAAAGAAGTTGACCTAGCAGCTTGACCCTCTAATAGCTGAACCTAATTAATGTAAATGAAGCCAGCAACAAACAGACAGAAAAAGCCATTTCTGCTTGCAGGAATTTTATTGCTGGATTTATTGCTCTCCAGCAGCATAGAAAATTTCCATTGAAAATTGCCGCAATATCGCAACTCTTGCCTTGGTTGTTTCCATGGCAGACCTGGAAGGCAGCTGATTATTTGAAAATAATTTCCTGCCTCCCTTCCTGAAGGAGACTTGCAATTTCTGGGGGTTCAGTTCACAGTCACCTCAGCCTTGGGGTTCCTATTTGTATGTGTGATGCCAGCTGACTCTGAAGAGTTTTTAAGAAATCCTGGTTGAAGTGCCTGGGCCAGGATGGCCCAAACGATCCATTCCAATTGTATTGCTTTGTTCAAAAGGTTTTGGAGAGGACGAGGGATAGAAAAAGGAATGAAATTAAACCCCACGTAGAGGTAAGAGTTGTGCTTCACACTCCTGCCGGCCCCAGTTGACCCCGTTGGCTCAGAATTGGCTTTAGGCTGAAGTTGCCTAGCCAATACATCGGCCTGGAAGCCAAATCGGAATGAGGGCAATGCTTTCTGGGCGCATGCTGGCAGTGAGTGAATGAAGGGGCAAGAAATAGCACCCAGCAAGGCTGCTGGAGCAGTCACACCTGTGTGACTGGATGGTCAGGTGTTTTTCACTCTGCCCTCTAAGGAAGCAGAATCGGCTGCTTTGAGGGATGTGGGAGAATTTCATCCCGCCCATGGCAATTTCCACTTTTGCCGGCGTGCCTCCACCACGTTTGCAGTGCCGAATTAGAACTGCCCCCTCTTCCCCAAGAGGCTTCAAGAGGGTCCCTTCCTGGCTGGGAAGAGCTGCACCACTTCTCTTGGGCAAGGATTTCGTTTTAATGCTTCTTGATAAGAATTTGCCAGATTTCCAAAAGGTTCTTTGTACTCAGGAGAGAAAGAATATGGAGTTGTTAAAAGGCGAAGGAAGCAACTGGCAGATTTACCCCAGTTCTCAGGTGGATGGGCCTTGTTTCCCCAGAACGGACTCAGCTCCTTTTCGCTATGGTGTGAATCCAGTCTTTGGGTTGGAACATAAGCCAAAGGGCACATGTCCTTCACAGGGGACCTCCATGGAGAAGGTTCACCACGGCAGCTGGACACCCCCCTGCGCTGGCAGCTGACTGGGAAGCAGCCATGTTGGATGCACTGAGGCAGTTCCAGACAGTTCCAGATAAAAATAGCAACTCTGAGTCCTAGGAACTCATTTCCCCATCAGGAAGTCAGTCTATCTGGAATGGCTGCAGTGGAGTGCTGTGAATGGGGGAGAATTAAGTCTCACTCGCAAATTCCCCTTAGAGGATTCCCCGAACCCCAGTTCAGTGCACCTAGGCAAACAGGGCTTGGCGTTCCCATGGGCCAAATTTCCAATTGCTGCCCAGTTAGAGCAAAGAGATGATTCTCTTCTACCCACAACATTTTTCAAAATGTGTGACAGATCAATCAGAAACAATGAGAAAGTTGGAGAATAAAAAGTGCACTTAGTAGCCTTTTGAGCGTCCTTTAGAGGAAAAGATTGGGATTTTGCTATAGAAGACCCTGCCCCATCCCTAGGAACAAGGATGGGCAAATCAGCAAGCTGTGAGCTCGCCAAAGTCTCCAAATTTTCTTCCAGTGCTCATTCTCAGCCATGATGGTATCCTCCTCCTTCTACATATTAAAGCACATCGTGCACAGTTTTGAAAAGTACACAATGGTTGCACTCATTTTGCAGAGGCTGCCAAATGATTTCGTTTGTCCGCAGATGACATTGCAAGCTCCAAAATGCATGGCCTTTAATTGCAATTAAACTGTGTCCAAGTTCAGTCCAGAAATTAAGCCCGTTAAGTAAAATCCTGAACCAAAGCAATCTGAAACAATGTTTTCCTACATTCCCATGAAGGAATGTGGTAACTCTTTTTCCAGAGATGCTTACAGTACCAGTACTTTTTGTTCGGTCTACAACTCCCATTAGCCCCAGACAGCAGGGCTGAAGCTCATGGTTTAGGTAAGTCATCTTTAGGAATGTGTGATGCTAGGAAATCCATTCCATTTCAACCTAGTGGATTCCTGCAACATTTCTGTTCCTGCAATCAGAAACAGCCCATGCCAGGTTTTTTTCAGGTTCCCGAAATGTGTGTGAAATCATTGCACATATTACAAACCTACATATTTGCAGTGCCATTAACACACACATTGATTTGGGGAAATCGGGCCTCTTGGGCAAATGCGACCTGACTCTTCAAGCTGGGCAGATGTGCCCGTGCTTTGTCAATGCAAGGTCAGTGCCGGCGCAAGGCCGCGCAGCTTCTGGGCCATCCTCCCACTGCCTGCGCCCAGCTCGCCCCATTCCCTCCTTCGCAAAGGCCTCGTCGTGGCCGATTCCGCCTGGCTTGGCACGGGCCGGGTGGAGCTCCGCCAGGGCAACAGTATCCGCATACATTCGACTGACATGTTAAGTCGTTTCCAGGTTTTATGATGATTTAAGCCCCCAGGATTTGTGCAAATGGAATGGTAGGTTTTCACTCTTTCCTCACTACCTGTTATCCTCCTCACTGATAGCTTGCTTAGAATATCATTTTTCTTTCGGTAATGTATTTGCTCTGACAAATATAGTTTATTGCATTCTTTTGTGTATGCTTATATTCCTGGTGTTTTTTGAAAAATTGTTTTTAGCAACAAGGGAGTTTCCAGTGTTGCTATGCCCAGCTCAAGTCGGGCTAGCTGTATGAAAGTCTTGAATTTATGCAGCTTTGAGCTGTGTGCAAAGTTTGGGCTCCACAGTTTGTCCAAATTTCCTGAGTGTTTTTTTTTTAAGTGTGAAAATCACAGCTTGTTTTAAAAGTGGAAATCAGAACTTATACTAGCATGGGGGAAATGGAAGAGAACCCAGAGGGCCTGCAGGGGAAGGATTCATCTCTCTTTGTATGTTGGGGGAGATAGACCTGCCCAAAGAATTTTTTAAAAAGCTATTTATTCAGAATACTTTCTCAGCTGCCTTCAAGGGTGGAATTCTCTCAAGGCAGCGCACAAGATCAAAAACATAAAGAGGAGTTGCAGGAAAAATTCAATAAAGGAGGATTCAATAATAGTTCCAGATAAGTGGTGATTATAAATTAAAATGAATAAACATGGATGTACCCAATCCAAAACAGCATCCCAAAACACTATGGGAAAGTCAGTGAAAGAAGCGTACCTTTTTGTTTAAAAAGGGACCTGCACAAGATTCTTACTGAGTATCCTTACTGAGTCTGACAAGCGAAATCGCAGACTGCGTAACAGGTGGCAGTCCCGGAAATACTTGGCAGGATCTAGAAAATACGAACACCCGGGCACGGCGTCTCTGGAGCAAAAAGAACATTCTGCTTTCCCTGCTGCTCCGCAGCAC